GCGGTCGCATTGGGGCTCTCTGCGAGTGGGCCCCCGACCGCGCGGCAACGCCCGGTGCACGGGCGTCGCGCTGTGGTTGGGCGGCGGCGGCCTCCTCCCCCGGGCGTGCGGGCGATGAGGGACGAATGAGGCGGTGCGAGGGTGCGCAACGGTGCGGGTTTGGAGAAGGAATGAGAATATGATGGATGTCGTTGTAAAACATGTCGTTGTAAAACTTGGGTATACTAATACCGTACGTGGACGTTCTTGAAGCAGCATGTCTGCATGCAGCCTTGTAATGGACGTTGAGAAGCTGGTCCCAGGTTGTCAACTTTGCCTTTTTCCCTGGGAAAAAAGGCAAAGTTGACAAGCTTATTATACAGTACATTACGGTACATACAGCACAGTGGAGCAGGGTGCCCAAGCGCTCTCCACACTCCAGTAAACCCGCTGGTAAGGAAGCACGTTCTGCTTCGTCACTGCAAAGAAGACGCTTCTTCAACAGTTGTCATGCCGATGGAACGTCCAAGGACGAAAGAAAAGGAGGTAACACCTCCAACTCCCATTTTTTTTCTTTCGTCCTTGGGTACCAACAATCTAAAAATTCTAACCTGGCTGATTCAGCTGCGTAGAAAATAAAGACAGAGGTCGGTGTTTCATGGAAATACGGCTCGGGAGAACCCGTTCTGGTTTATCCCATGTGTATCATGGTTCATGATTTATCATGCGCGATACGCCCATGATAAACTGTGAACAGATGGTACAGCGAGAGGTGTGTGTGTAACCAAAATTCTTTGCGATGCACGCATCGCGAGTCCTCTACCCTTGGTAGACGTTTCCGCGGAAAGAAAAAGGAAACAAAAAGAAGGGTTTCTATTGCAATTCCTGAAAAATATTGAATACATTACAGTATTGGGGTGTGACTGTACAGGTTTATACTATAAACCTTTCGGGCGGGTTGGCGCCAAGACTTCGGTTCAACTTATCACCTGAACAGTACCCAAGGGTACACCTCTGCGAACAGCCGTGCGGACAGCACCACCGTTCCCCTCACAAAGAGAAGGTGAGAAAAAAAACAAGAAACAGAAAAGAAAAGTTTATTACAGAAAAAAATTCAGCACCACCCCGTTCCCCTCAGGGCCGTTCCTAACGACGAGCACGGTGTGCTAGCACGCAAGTGGCAAGCACCCTGACATTTGGATTGGTTGAACGGGAGTAAAAGCATTTCCAATAATTTTTTCAACCAATACATTCATGCCAAGTTTCATTGTGTTCCCCTCACACCCCGTTCCCCTCACACCCCGTTCCCCTATGTCAAAAATTGAATTACAGTTAACAAAATTGAACACCCTTGCTGGCAAGGGTATTCTCTTGTGAGCGGAATTTGCCGGATGGGCGTCCGACTAGAAAAGGTGCAATTAATTGGTTGATTTCAGGTATTCAATGGCCTCGCTCTGGCTTTGCGGAGCCACTCATCTTTGGTAACTGGTGGTGCTGGCACCTCTGCTCAGCGAACCGTCTGGTGCCAGCACCAGCAGGTTCTGCTGAGCAGAGGTATGGAGGCAGCAGAGGTATCAGTAGAAGCGCAGAGACTTGAAGCGCAGATTGAAGCGGAGACATGCAGTACCGTTGGTACCCTTGGTGCTGCCCATATATAATCCCGCACATCAACCACCCCCGCAATTCCCCCC